TTATCTATTCTCTTGGTGGTGGACATGTGAGCCATTTCCAGGTTTTTTCCCACTGTTACAATCCATGCTGCTATGAACTCTTGTGCGTATTTCCTGGTGCCCATCAAGTTTCTCCAGGGTCTGTTGTTATGTGCTGTCAAGTCGTACCCGACTCATAGTGACCCCTCCTTGGGTTTCCAAGGCAGTATCACTATGGAAGTAGATTGCCCAACCTTCCTTCCAAGGAGTGACTGGTGGGTTTGAACCGTCAGCCTCCTGGTTAGCAGTCAAGTGACTTAGGCATTATGCTACCAAAGCCCCCTCTCCAGTGTCTAAATTATTTTCTAATGCATTTCTACCAATTTACACTCCCAGTGCATAAAAGGTTCTGGTGCTCATGTCCTTGCCAACCCTTGGGGGGTGGTGAAATTTTTCAATTTTTGTCAACCTGGTATTATGGGATTTACAAAGAATTTGGACTTTATCCTCAGTTCCTGAGAGACAATTGCTAAACAAAACCATAGAATTTAAGTGTCTTCAATAAGAACTCCAGACACCTAATTAACAGGCTCAGTGAGGAGAGGTGACTCTGGGGTGGGGGCGGCCTAGGCTAGAAACACTTACAATGTAATACACCACGATCACCTCTTGATATCAACCAACTTCAAGGGAGAGGGGTTGGAGTTTGCATTATGTAACGAGACCCCTAATAAAGCGCTAGACACTGAATCTCCTGGTTAGCAAAAAACGTGCTCTTGGGAAGGTAGCATGTTCCTTTTTGGGACATGGAAGCTCTGTGTTGGTACAGTGTAGTAAATTACTTAGTATGGCTTTTCTACCCATAAGTCATTGTAAACTCAGTGTTGGAATGAGCAACTGAGGAGCTCCTGATTGTAAATGTTATCCATGTGGAGTATTTCTGTTGGGCGTGGCACAATACAATGTTCTGGGATGTGCCCACTCTCTCTCAAGTGCTTAAGAGTTCTGATGCTATGATTGGCTAGTTTGACCACCCTGCCGGGCTCAAAAGGAGGCCTCCTGGAAGCAGAACTCTCTCTGACTGCTGGTTGAGGAAGACGTGCTGCCGAAAGAGACATGCACTCCTGAATGAGACACGTGCTGCTGGGAAAGAGATGCAAGAGACATGCATTGCTGAGTGAGACACTGAGGGACCAGCATTTCTGGGAAAGAGACTGTGAGAGACTGTTGGCTGAGGGATGGTGGGCTGGAGAGAGAGACTGAGCATTCTTCCCGAACTTGAATTGTAGCCTGGGGCTTCCCTAATAAACCCCATAATCCGTGAGCTCTGTGTGGCCACTGCAGCGAATTACTGAACCCAGGAGAGAGATGCTGGGTGCTTTGGGAGGAACGGTTGGTGAAAGGGCTGGAAGGAGGCAGCATATCTGGCCTTGTAGGAATAGGCCTTGGGTAATCCTGTCTTCCTCTTGTAAGGTTAGAGGAGGTCAGAACATGTGGCCTCCTTGCTGTTTTTGCAGTTGGGAATCCTTATAAGCCTCTCACTATGTGTCTCTTCTATATGCTGATCTTTATTTGTATATTTTATAATAAAGCTATAATCTTAAGTATAGCACTTTGCATGAATTCTGTGAATTGTTCCAGTGAATTACTGAACCCAAAGGAGTAGTGAGAACAAGTAGGTCAGAAGTAAAGATGGACTGGGAATCTTGAGCTTATGGCTGGAATCCTGAGGAGGGTAGAGGGAACTCCCTGAATTTGTAGCCAGCAAGTCAGAAGTGAGGGTGTCGTGTGGATTCCCAAACTTTTGGCTAGAATTTGAAGTCTTAGGCCTACTTGGTAGTCTGGAGTACTGTGTCCTTTAACTTCTGAGGTCTAATCTAGTTTAGGGTGGTTACGGTCAGAAGAAGTGCTGCATGGCAGGTGGTGTCAGAACCAGAGAAATGGAAAAGTGAATATTTGGGGCAGAAAAATGAAACAAGATCTGTACCTCACACCATACACAAAAATGAACTCCAGATGGATCAAAGTCTTAAATGTGAAACCTAAAACTATACAGTTCCTCAAGGAAAATCTAGGTACAAATTTAAGGGCCCTAATATATGACATAAATAGACTATCAAGCATAACTCAAAACGCACAAACAGCAGAAGAGAA